TGCAGCTTCAGCTCTGAGGGATCCAGTTCCACCTCTGGCCTCCTTGTGAACTAGGGTATGCACACACCTGCACATAGACCCAGCCAGACACACACACACACACACACACACACACACACACACACACACACCACACCTACCTCATAAAATAGATCTAAAAAAGGGAATAAATCTAGGTGTAGTTCAGTAGTAGAGTACTGGCCTCACGTGCCCAAAGCTCTAGCTCTGGGTTTAATTCCCAAGCGCTGTGGAGGATGAGGGGAGTGATATAGGAACAGCAATAGTAGTAATAAAAGAATAACTACAGGGCCAGGGGAGGAAGCATACATCTATGATCCCAGCCCTGAGGAGGCTGAGCCGAAGGACTGCAAGTCTGAGGCCAGCCAGGACTACAAGAGAGCATTCCTCACAAAACAAAACAAACAGAGAAGTAAGAAAAAAGACAGTACTGTGGCGAGGACGAAGGAGTTAAAGGACAGTAAACAGGTAATGACATTGAAAGGTAAAATGTTCCCCTGTTCACACAGGTTTGTAAGAATAAGCTGGCGGAGGCTCATCGAACATATTATGGAAAAGAGGGAAGCTGCTCAACAATCTTTTACCTAACATTCCTTCCCAGTCTTTAGAAGACCATGACTAGCCTATGGTGTACGGAAGTTTTGGAAGGGCAGCACTGTGAAGTAGCAGTGACTTTGACAGGGCCATAGGAAGGCTAAATATTAACATTTTGCATCCCATCAAAATGTGTTTATTTAGTCCCTGGAACCTGCGGATGTCACCTCATGTGACAAGGACTTTGCAGGTGTGTTTTAGGAATCTGACTCAGGGAAATCATCAAAGATTATACTGGTGGCACCAAGAGACAGAGGCCAGAGGATCGCTATGAGTTCAAGGCTAGCCTGATCTGCATTATGAGTTCCAGGCCAGCTAGAACTACACAAGTAAGAGCCAGTCTCAAAAACCAAAAAGAAACAATAAAACTGTGAGGGGACACTCAGAGTTGGCAAAACACAGGAGAGGAGAAGGCATGGAGGCAGACACGAAGTGATGTGGTCATGATCAGGGCTCAGGAATGCCGCTGCCACCAGAAGCTGGAGAAGCCAAGGGAGACTAGACTTTCTGGTGGATCCTGCTAACACCCATTTGACCCAGTGATACTGATGCTGACGTCTGGCCTGCAGAACTGTAAAAGAACACACTATTTCGTTTTAGTTTTTTGAAACAAGGGTTCGTATAGCCCAGGCTGGCTTCAAACTCCCCATATAGCCAAGGATGGCCATGAATTTCATTGTTGCTCCTGCCTCCATCTCCCAAGTAAGATTACCGATATGTACCACCACACCCACTCCATTTCTGTTGTTTCAAGCAGCACAATTTGTGATACTTTGTTATGATAGCCACAAGAAATTCACAGGGGTGCGGATCCATTATTTCCGAAAATTGTAAATGCTCATACTATTTTAGCTCCAGTGACATTTTTAGGAAAAGAATCTGATTCTGATGACAAAGAGTAGCTAAGCAGAAAATATCACATAAAATTCATTTATTCTTGGGCTGGAGAGATGGCTTATTGGTTTAAAATACTTACTACTCTTCCAGAGGACCTGGGTTCAATTCCCAGCACCCACATAGTGGCTCAAAACCATCTGTAACTCCAGTCCCTGGGGATCCAATACCCTGTTCTGGTCTTTGTGGGCACCAGGCATGAACATGGAGCATAGACATCCATGCAGGCAAAACACTCATATACACACACACAAAAAAAAATTTAAATCAAGACAAGTACTATAATACTCATTTTGCAAAAAGCATACAATTTAAGGAACCGACCGGAAGTAATAGAAGCAGGATTAAGAAATAATAATTCATTTGGCTCCAAGACAAGCCCTCTTTCTATGTACTATCTTGCTTTATTGCACCATTAATCCTCACACATGCTCTAAAGCAGACTGAGCTCTATCAAGATAGAGACTAAATATGGGCCTTGTTCACCACACCACCATCTGGTGAACAGTAAATATTGTTAAATGGGTAACTGGAACAGGTAAGGCATAAAGAGAATAAGGCGTATCGCCAAGATCACATGGCCACTGTATGACAGGGCCAGGGCCCCAATCCAAATTCTATACACTGTGAGGTGATTTGAGATCCAACAGCAAGCCAAGCATGATGGCACATACCTGTAATCCCAGCAGCTGGGAAGCTGAGGCAGGGGGATCACCATGAATTCGAAAGCCTGAACTACACAATGAGTTCCATGCCAACCTGGGCTATATACCAAGACCTTCTCTCAAAAACCAAACCAAGCCGGGCAGTGGTGGCCCACGCCTTTAATCCCAGCACTCAGGAGGCAGAGGCAGGTGGATCTCTGTGAGTTCGAGGCCAGCCTGGTCTACAAAGGGAGTTCCAGGACAGCTAGGGATACACAGGGAAACCCTGTCTTGAAAAACCAAAACAAACCAAAATAGCCAGCACAACAGTGTGTGTGACTTTTGAGCAGGAATGGGTAGGGGAATGGGGAGTAGGGAAATAACAAAAGAGGGAAGTGTGTGCGCGCGCGCGTGCGTGCATGCGTGCGTGCGTGCGTGCGTGTCTGCTGGGATCCAACACTGGTGGAGGTCGATCTAAAAAGTCAGTAGTGGAAGTAGTGAGCTTAGAGTCGACAGGAAGAAGACAACGGATGTGAATTGAAGATGGTGTGTAAGGTGTTACCAGATGAAAGGCTGATCTGGACAGAGACCAAAGTAACTTATGCTCAGAGCAGTCGAGCCACCCCCTGATTATCATGCCATCAGTCACAAGGGTACATGGGTACATGCCAGTGGAAGCTTTGCCCATTAATTGAAGCAGAATAAGCGGTTCCATGTGGGGAAGGACTTTGAGCCAAATCAGCAGAGAGCCAAATTCTCCTACAGCGCTAGCTGGACACCCAGACTGGAAACCAGAAACTCAGGAATACTAAGAGTGTGGTGGGAGGTGGGGAGACTGCAGGAGAGCCTCACCACAGAGTCTGAAGCCTGACTGACTGCTCTTTGTCAGTGCGAACCCTTTGTTCCCCTCGCCCGTTCTAGACACCCAGCCAGAGGCTCTTCAGGGCAGAGAAACACAGGCAAGGAAAGAGGCTACATTTCTCTATAATGTTCATCAAATACCTGGACATTTCCAAGAGGAACTCTTCAGAATTAGGGTGACTACTGGCTACTACGACACCCCGAGGCCAAGTGTTTCCCTTGGAATTGACGTAAAAGACCTGAGGCAGCAGGATGTAGCTGACGGCAGTTCTGTCATACAGCCTCATCAGACCTAGGAACCCATCTGGGAAGTAGCTACGTTGGCTCACGAGTTTCTGAAATATAGCCACTTGTACGCCCAGTGCCACACAGAGTCCTAGCCATGGTTGGAATCCAAACTGGTTAGAGTGCAGGGAAATTAATAGTAAACGAACCATCAGACATGCAACAAAAGTGGATCTGAACATCTGTTTTCATTGAAGTCTTTGGTTTTACAAAGCTACAAATATTTAAGAGTAGGAGAAAATGAAACATGTTCTTAAGGAAGGGCTAACCAGAAAATCTGAGCCAACAATCATTTTAAGTGCCCAATTATGTTGCCTTAAATTATCTTAATTATCAGAATCTTAATTAATCCATAGCACAACTCTTGAAGAAACTGTTGCTCAGTGAAGTCATGAGTCCCCCCTAAAGACAGAGCTGGCAAGTGACAGGTCTCCAAAGCCTGTTCATGCTGTTTTCAGTCCTGCTTCCTCGAGAAGGAAGGAAAGAGGCAAGGAGGGGGGAGGGGAGGAGAGGGCCAGTAGTTGGGAGCTAGAGGAAGAAGGGGAGGAGGAGGAGGAGGAGGAGGAGGAGGAGGAGGAGGAGGAGGAGGAGGAGGAGGAAGAGAATGCTGAGCAACTTTTCTCCTATTAAAATAGAAAGGATACAGTTGCTTTCAGACCAAGTAGGACCTGATCAAGCAAACAGAAGTGATGTGTTTGAGATTCCAGACTTAAAGTCGGCTCACACATCCTTCACTGTGTGTTCCTTGTGCTTAATCTCTGAATTTGGAACCAGAGTTCTGACAGGAAATTGGTTAACATTGCCTAAACAAAAACAACAAAGAAAATCCTCACATCCCTCTTCCCAGAAATTAGGCATCTTTAAGCTGGAGATTTCTAAGCAAAATAGGGTTGCTGCCTGGCTCGTTTCCACAGAATTTAGCATTGAGAGAGCCAAGGCCTGCGATTTATCCTCAGTTCCTGGGCAGGGGCCAGGAACACAGAGCCAGGCAGCCAGAGGCCCGAGTTGTGAGGTTCCCAACTGAAAGACACTGAAGTGAGGGACCAAGTCACAGGAAGCTGGCTCGGCCTCAGTGGTCCAGTGGCCTCAGTGGTCCAGATTCAAAGAAACGATTATTGTGAGTGACTTTTGAAAGCACTCCCTAATTCTCCAGCAGATCTGAAGTCGGGACGGAAATTTCATGGTGGGGGTAGGGTGGGGTGGAGAAAGTACGTGAAGAATTACAAAGTCAGGGTTAAGGAGTACAGGAATTGCTGAAATCAGAGAGGAAAGAAGTGTAGGTATGAGGCATGTCCTGGGTCTGAGAGAAAGGACAGGACTCCACACAATAGGGGCCGGTCCTCAAAGGGAGAAGGACGTTAAAACCGTAAGCCTCCAGGAGTTCTGCTGCTGACAGTGAAAAAGTTAAAGAAAAGAGGGTTGCATCTGGAAAAAAAAAAAAAGGAGTCTCTGGAGAATACATGAATAACTCTTCTCTTCCCCCCCCCCCCCGTGTGTGTGTGTGTGTGTGTGTGTGTGTGTGTGTGTGTGTGTGTCTGCGCGCGCGCAAGCGTGTGTGTCTGTGTCTGTGTCCAGAAGGAAACTCCCCAAAAGGAAATGCATGCGAGGGCCGGACGCCAAGCTGAGCCACCGACCGGGAGGCCAGCGGGAGCCGGCCCCCTGCCTAGAGTGGGTCCCGCAGGGAGGCCAGCCCCCGACACTCACCTCGGCCGTAGCCCTGCGTGTGCTTGGCGAAGCTCCTCACCACCGCCTCCACGGCCTCGCGCAGCACGGCAGGGCTCCCCGAGGCGCCGGGGGGCAGGGGCAGCCCGGGGGCCCCAGCCAGCAGCAACGGCGGCGGGGGCGGGGCGGGGGGCGGCGGGGCGGGCGGCGGGCCCGCGGGGGGTGTGGCGGCGCTCGGCGGGGCGCCGGTCACCCCCGGCCGCAGCGCTCGCAGAGTGCCTCTCCCGCCGGCACCTACGCCGGGCTGCAGCCGCTGCGCCCGCATCGTCTCCATCCCGGCCGGCGGCAGAGCTGGGCCCCGCAGCTGGCCGGCCTGGCGAGCTAACGGTCCCAGCTACCCGCAGTGAGCCGGAGCCGAGGGACTGAGGGCGGTGCCGGGACCCAGCTGTCCGTCAAGAGCGGGCGGGGCCGAGCCGGAGGCCATGCCAATCACTGGTGGAGAGGGAGGGAAGGGGCGGGCCCCTGCGCCGCCTTAGGCAAATGATGGAGGAAGGCGGAGGCTGCGGGAGCCAATTGCGCAGAGAAAACGCGATACGGTCTAAGAGGGAGAGCTTCGGAGCATCTTTGGGAATCCTGTGGTAAACGCTAGAAATCCGGACAGACCTCTGGGGGCGGGGCTTGAAGGAAAAAATAGGCCTGGATGCAAGGCTGGGTAGACTTGTAGCCGGAAAGGATTCTTAGAGATCTCCTGTCTGGTTCAGAGAGGTCATGTGACTAGTGTCTAAGTTCATATACAATCGGTGGTGAAGCTAAAACGGAGCACGATGCCGACTTTAGTGAGAACATGCTATGTGGTATACTTTAGTGCACTGTCTTACCTAATAGCAGCAAGCACAAACCAGACTTTTATTATTTCACAAACAAGGAAAGTGATGCTCAGGAAGGCTAGATATACTCCTCCAAATCGAATAGCTAGATGGTAAGGGGGATTCAGACGTAAGTGGTCTGATCCAAAGGTTTTCGTCTTTTCTCTATGCTACATTTAGGGGTGGTTTTCAGATTTCAGCTATTTACTAAGGGAGCGAGAGAAAGTAGAATGTGTTTATCACTGTACAGGAAGAAAGAGCTAGAATACATGCAGAAACCTATCAAACTGAGAAATTCAGGACATGTGTTGGAAAGGGTCACTTTGTTCATAGAACTCCTCAGGCTGAGTTCCAACTATTTTCCCACACACAGACGCCCATGCACACACACACTGTAACACGGTTTTGTTGATTGATTATCGTTCCTTACTTCGTCTTGGGTGAGCTTACCAGCCCCGCCCTCTCTCCTAGGGTGGCTCAGAGATTAAACATGGAGGTGAAAAGAAAATGGATGAGGCACACCTGGGGAAATGAAATTAAACCCTGTGTTTATAAAAAAACAAGAGCAAAACAAAAAAAATGTCAAAAAATTGGAAGTTGTATCAGCTTATGGAGAAGGGGGGAATGTTTCTGTAAGAATCTTAAATCATTAAAGGCCAGGCAAGGGGAGACTGCAGGGAAGGCCTATCACATGCCTGAAAACCTACAACCACAATCGGCCAGTCGGGCTCCTGTAACCTTTGGAGACCCTCCCGGGGTGGTTGTAATGGTAAGTTAGCATCACACCCCCCCCATCCCTCTCCTCTTTACCCCCACCCCACCCCTTCAGGCAGCAGAGACTAAACAGAGACTTCGGAACACATTTATTTGACATTTCAAGTGGTAAGAGGACTGACTTGGGCTTCCTCCCCACTTCTACCTGTAGGGGTGTTCATAAGCTCAGACACACAGAAGAGCAACTTAGAGCCCATGACCCACCCCCTGGGGTCAACAAGACGGTCCCTAGTGGTGTGTGTTGAGTGGGTGGGGCGAGCAGGTGGGAAGAAAAAGCCGGAAGTTGAGGGCATGAGAGGCAGCAACAGAACCGAGACCGGGAGCTGCTGCTGGAGCCTCAGAAAAGAGAAGACAACCTGAAAAGCGGATGGAAGCCGGGTGTGAGCAAGGAGCCAGGCATGGAGAAGCAAGACCTGCAGAACGGGGTGAGATACTCGTGAAGAGAAAATAGAGTATGCGAGAGTATGATAGGCCACGTCTCCGGGCATACATAGAAAGCAAGGGATTGCTTTTTCAGGAGAGCAAAGATCCAGGAGACCAGCCTCAAGTGGGGGCTCCCTGCTGCTTCCAAATAAAGGCCAGGGAGCCTGGGACCCTAGCACAAGTGGTCCTCTATTTGTTGGTGTGCTGTGCCTCTGGGTACCCAAGTAATCCCGTGTGCGTGTGAAATGACCAGGGCACGAATGCGTGGGTCTATACGCCCAGTAAACACAGTATTTAATCCTTCCTCGCTAGTAAGTGTACTGTGCTTGTGGACACATGCTTACCCATGTGTGCGTGCACAGTGCCGTGAGCACATGCAAGAGATCCCGTGTCAGAGGTATCAGCTGGTTCTCCTGCCATCGGGGTCCTGACCCTTCTTCCCCTCCTTGGTGCCTCTCTGACTTCTCTCAGCGCCCCGGCTCCCCCGGCCCGCCTAGACTCTGGAAACCCCCTAGCAGGCGAATCTGCTCAGCTCTGCATGGAGTGGCGTCTCACCAACTTGCGCTTGGTCCTGGGAGACCCTGGTGCCCCAGGAGGGGCGGGCAGTGAGGGGTGCCCGACCCTCCGGCTTGGGGGCGAATGTCGGGGATGGGAGGGGTGGGGGCTGACGTTGAGAGGAGGCAAGAAACCGGGTCGCGTTTGCGAGATGTGGTCCAGGAGCAAGGTCCCGGAGCCCCTCCCGCTCTAGCAGCCCGGGACTCCCGCCTGCGTCCGCTCAGGCGGGGATACAGCCCCGGGCAGACTTTCTTGGGACTTGGCGTGGAGAAGAGATTGAGCCCGCCGGAGGGAGGGTCAGCGGAGAGGCGCTTGTATCGCCGGCGCTCCAGGGACAAGCGGCTGGACTCGGGCGAGTCAGGGCAAAAGTGTCCAGGGGTATCGAGCTCCACCGGCTCCATGCGGTCTCAGTTTTTGCCGTAGCCCTGAAGGCAGACCAGACTCCTGAGTCTCGGGCGCTGTGTTTCGGCGCGAGAGGGGGACCCCCCGCCCGTCACTTTCTCCGCCCATGGAGGCGGGTCCTCCGGGCCCTCGGTGCTGTGACGCCGAGAAAGACGCGGTCTGCCGGTCAGGGTCAGGCCGTTGAATTCCGCCGGCCAGGCGCTCCATCCCCGGTCTCCCCTTCGGCGGGAGGGACCGGTTGAGGAGGAGCCACAAGGCCCCCAGGGCTCGGAGTTGAGCCTTTTGAGTGGTTTTGGAGGGTGTCGAGGCGGCTTGGGGAGAGGCTCGGAAGGGGAAGGGTCATCAGGGGGCTTAGGGAAGAGGGAATTCAAATATGTCTCTTTTCCTCCTCTTCTTCCTGGGCGCGAGGGGACAACAACCCCCGTCCTCCTCCTGCAGTCTGCAGTTGGACTTCCGAAGGCGACGTGCAGACCCCTGGACTAGGAGGAGCCGGTGCAGGGTCCTCTACCCCCCGGGGACGGTGGGGAATTGAGATACTGCCTGGTCTTCTTGGTGCCCGAGGGCGAGGTATCCGTGGTTATGATGATGACCTCCGTGCCCTTGGCCTTGCAGGCGTCCAGCAGCGTGGCAAGGGTCTCGCGGTCCCCGCGGTCCAGGGCGTGGACCAGCGCCGAAGCGCCAGCGTGATCTCGGACTGAGGGGTCTGCGCCGTGGGCCAGGAGCAGAGAGGCCACGGCGGCCCCCCCACCCCCCGGCGCAAGCGTGCATGAGCGCGGTGCGTCCTAACCGGTCTGCGATGTTGGGGTCCGCGCCTTGCTCCAGGAGGTAGCGTACCATACGCGCCTTGTTCTGAGGGTCGTCGTAGCGCGGCCCTGCAGGCCGCCATTAGCGCAGTCTCCCCTTGGGCATCACCCTCATTCACGTAGGCTCCTCCCTCCAGAAGCAAACGGGCCAAGCGCAGCTTACCCTGACCCCCACCGCCCGAAGAAGAGCGTGGCCCTCGGTGTGCAGCATAGCTGCGGCTCGGGCGAAAAGCACCGATGGAGCCGGGAATGGGACCTGACGAAGATGGCTAGGAGTGTGGGGGGTGGTGGTTGTGGAGAGGCCTGAGGTCTTGGTGGTAAAGCCTATCCCTGTGAAAAAGAGGAGAGAGAGAGAGGGAGAGAGAGAGCTTATTGACAGGCTCAGCAGGGAAACTGAGGCACCGATGAAGATGCCTGGTGTATGACGGGAGAGGGGGGGGTCCTCCAATGCACAGTCCTTCCTCTGGACTCCTGCCTTTGAGCCTTCCCCCCCCTCCCCGCCCAGTGCATGCCAGAGGAGGTGGGAAGGGTGCATCCGCACTGAAGGGCTCATGCAAATACGTACATGCACGCGCAGAGATATTCGCACACCCCCCCCATTCGCACCCCACGGCTTATCAGACCTTTCCAACATCCCCCTTTTCTTATCCACACTTGGAATCCCCCTCTCTAGGATACTGAACGCCACCCACCCACAACACATGCACCCGTTCAGTCATACACATATTTCTATTCCTAACCTCTTTTAGATTGCCACATCCCCAAAAATTGAGTGGGGGGGAAGGAAGCAGCTTGCATTTGGGACCTAAAGAGGTGGAGGAAGAATTAGGGATTCTTTTGCCCCTGCTGTGTTCCCCGTTGCTCCTCGTTCTTTCCCCCCTCCCAGGCTGTACCCCCAAATAGATACCTGAATGTCCGCATAATCTTTGACTGGCCAGGATTGAGGCCGGGGCCATGGGGGGCCTCCGGGGTGGAGGAGCCGGGTACCTGGGGGCCCACATGGCGTGGGGGGGGGCACCCGGATTCCCTTGGTGTCAGTATCTGCGCCCCAGCGCTGGATCCTGGTCCCTCCTCCCGGTGCGCCCCGGGCACAGCGCCGGCTCCGGAGGAGAGAAGAGGGGGGGTGGGGGGGCGGAGCTCTGCTGTGCTATTTATAGCCCAGTCTCTGCGGGTGGGGGCGTCCGGCACCAAGCCCGCTCCCCACCCCCATGCGCACTACACATAAACCAAAAAAAAAAAAAAAACCTAGTGCTTCCAATCTTGACTTCCGTTTCTTAACCCACCTCCCCCAGCCCCAACAAACCTAAACGCTCCTTAGGGGACTCTCCGGCGACCCATTCAGGAACCATCCCGATTCTGATTCTTCGTAGAGCTTGAGCAGATCTCCATGATATCCAGGATGCCAGACCTGACTGCCACACACGGCATATGGCACACTGTGCAGAGAGAGGGGTGTAGGGAGGCGGTTGGGATCTGCAGCGGCGTCCACACAGCTCAGAGAGAGAGGCAGGAGATGTGGCTCCCTTCCCATAGTTTAAATATCAGGGAGCGTGTAGCCTGGAATCAGACAGCAGTGTGCCCCCCGCTGC